TCAGGGGCCAGAGGGAAGGGACTCTAGACAGGGGGAGGTGCCTGAGCAAAGGCCTTGGGGAGTTGATTTGCCTATGGTCATAAAGCTTTGGGAGCTCTCCAGGCAGAATTCAAATCCAAGTCTTATAATGGAAATCATCCCTGGCAATATTGGAGTCAGAGAATGTGATATTGAGTTCCACCTCAGATACTAGCTGTGTGGCCATGAAAAGGTAGGAAGGAAGGACACATTTATTAAGGCTCATGCTCAGAGAATAGATTCGGTTAGGTTATCTGTACGTTGAAAAATGAAAGGTGATTTTCCCATTTCCTTTACACACTTGCTGGGTTTCAGGGAGTGTTTGTTCTACTACATGTATGTCTCTGTGTGTGTGTGTGTGTGTGTTTTGTGCACGTGTGTGTCTGCATACGCACGTGTGTGTCTATTTACGCGCATGTGTGTATGCGTACGCGCGTGTGTCTGCATAAGCGCGTGTATACGCACGTGTGTGCTTACAAGGAGCTGTGTCTTTTTAAGGTCCAAGCGTCCTTCACGATAAGTAATTCCAACGTGAAGTTTTAGTCAAGTTGCACGTCGGCCTGGGGCTAAGCCCACAGCTGGCGCCTCCAATGGGCCTTCCTCTACAAGGGCGACAGCCTCCCTGGTACCCACGGCCACCTGATGGACCCGGTCCTCTTCACGACCCAGGCCAGCTCCAGACAGTGGCTGCTCAAGGCCTGGATGCTGCGCCTCAAGGCACTGGCTCGCGCGAAGCCCTGGCTTCCCTTCCTTGTTGGCAGCGTTGCACAGCAGCAGGGACTAGGCCACGTCGAACTGGCAGCTTTGGGCACCCCTTCCTCCAGGAGGAGGAAGACATGGATGCCAGCCTTCTTTAGAGAAACAGGCATTAAGGCTCAGGGGCCAGAGGGAAGGGACTCTAGACAGGGGGAGGTGCCTGAGCAAAGGCCTTGGGGAGTTGATTTGCCTATGGTCATAAAGCTTTGGGAGCTCTCCAGGCAGAATTCAAATCCAAGTCTTATAATGGAAATCATCCCTGGCAATATTGGAGTCAGAATGTGATATTGAGTTCCACCTCAGATACTAGCTGTGTGGCCATGAAAAGGTAGGAAGGAAGGACACATTTATTAAGTGCCTACTATGTGCCAGGCCCTGTGCTAAGCCCTTTACAAACTATCATATTTGATCCTCACAACAACCCTGGGAGGTAGGTGCTGTTATCATTCCTATTTTACAGATGAGAAAACTGAGGCAGGCAGAGGTGAAATGATTTGCCCAGGGTCACACAGCTATTGTGTGTCTGAGGTGGGTTGGAACTCAGGCCTTCCCGCCTCCAGCTCGTGCTCTGTGCACTGTGGCGCCCGCGGCTGCTTCTCTGATTGGGGTTTCCCCATGTGTCAAATGATGTCACATGATTCGTGGTATTCTTGGGAGGAGAGCATTCTGTAAACTGTCACAACAATCCACGCAGGGTCCTCTTTACCAACCAGCTCAGAGGCAGCACCAGGCGAACCTGAGTGCAAGGGCTGCCTTGGCCACTGACTGGCTGGGGGCCTGCCGGCGCACTCGCTTCCCCTCTCCCAGACTGGAAGGGGCAGAGCAGATGCCAAGCGGTTGCCCTGGCAGTTCACTGGCTCCCGAGCTTTGGAGGCGAGCGGCATCACCACAAGCCTAGGCCCAGGGGCCCGTGAGAGCCAGCTCAGCTAGAGCTCCAGTTTTCCTCTGTACTGATCGCCTTGTCTCTTTCTCCTCCTTGGCAGCCCTTGGAAACTCCACTAAAGTCTGATGACAGCTTTAGGCCACCCAGGGGAGAGAGTGGGACTTCTGGTAGGTCCTAGAGGAGAAGGTAGGATTAAAGTCTGGCAGTCACAAAGCATTGATTAAGCACCTACTGTGTACACCGGACTGAGAATACAGAAGGAGACAAAAGCCGGTCCCTGCCCTGGAGGAGCTCTCCCAGCCAAGTTGTCAGAGGCAGGCGCAGAGCTGGGGAAGGGAACTGAGATCTCTTAGCCCCGAGGAGAGAAGAGAAACAATGGCTGTGTAGTGTCTAAAGGATGGGGCCAGGGACAGGAGCAGCTGTGCTCAGAGCCCACCTAGGCCAGAGCTGGCAAACTCAAATAAAAATGGGGGTGCATCCCCTAACCCTGCAGCCTCATGTTGACTTAGAAAGCCCCGTATCCATATGAACGATGTTCTACTGGATTTTTTTACTGATTTTCTTAAGGATTTCCTGATGATATCTGAATCTGCTTTGCACTCAGGGGTGTTTTAGTCCAATGTGGCCCACGATCCTCTGCGCTGGCCATGAGCCTTTTCACTTTGTCTGATCTTCTGGCCCATCACTGTTGTCATCACCGGCCATGTTGGCAATCTCGCCCAGCTTGGCGCTGTCTGGGCCTTTGGAGACGGCAGGGAGCCTATAGGTCATTCTGCGCCACCAGCAGGGCAGCACAGCCGCTTGTCCTTGGCGACATTGGGGGCAGAGCCTGAATTTGGACCTAAGTCTTCAGATGAAAAGCCTGGGGCTCCTTTGACCTACCTCCCTGTTCCTATTCTGGGCACTGCCGCCCGCCCAGCTGAGCATCATCCTGGGCTCCTCACTCTCTTACCACCATGTCCACCCCAGTGCCAAGGCCTGTGGATGTCACCTCTGTCCCATCTCTCAAATCTACCCCCTTCTCCCCTCTGCCCCTGCCCCCACCCTGGTCCTCTCACCCCTGGACCATGGCAATAGCTGCTGGGGGGAGGGGTCTGCCTGCCTCAGTCTCTCCCTGCTCCAATCCATCCTCCATCAGCAGTCAAAGTCATCTTTCCAAAGCGCAGCTCTGCCCATGTCACCCCAATAACCTCCTGTGACCCCCTATGGCCCTTTGTCACCCACCCCCTCCTCCCTCTCCAGTCTTCTTTCCCATCACCCTCCAACACATCCTCTTGGAGCTGGTGACACTGCCCTCCATCTCCTGGCTCTGTGAGCCAGGCCAGGCCTGGAATGTTCTTTCCTCAATTCTACGTCCTGGATAAGGTGGCTTCTTTCCAGACTCAGCTCAAAGCCCACCCTCCACAATGGGTCCTTCCTCCTCTTGCCTCCACTAACGCCACTCGCCCTGTATAGGCCTCATAGGGACAGAGTTGCTTACACATCACCTCCCTCATTGTGCTGTGAGCTCCCTGAGACTGGGGACCTTGTTTTTGCCTTTTTTTGTTTCTCCAGCACCTAGTATAGTGCCTGGCACATAGTAGGTACTTGATAAATGCTTGTTGATTGACTGACAAAAATGTTGAGGAAAACAAAATATTGAAAGAGACCTATGTGTCTTCACTATAGACCTCGGTCCTGGTCACCACTGCTCATTATTGGTCTACAATAGAGCAGGTTCTTAATGAGCCCAGGCTGGATCTTAGGGAGTATTGAATGCGCACAAGCCATCCCTTTGGTAAGGCCGTTTCAAATGTTGCCATGGAAGTCCAAATGCTTAGACAGGCCCGGGGTCTTCTGTTCACTCTCACCTTTGACCAGCGCTCACCAGACACAGCTTTGAGTCCCTTCACCCTCCCTGGCAGCCCCTTCTGCTGAAGCCTGGGCCTTCCTTAAAAAGCCTCACTTGGCAGGGGCTCCAACACCAGGCAGAAGCTTCCTTCCTTCAATCTTGCACTTCTCCCTCCCTCCCTTCCTTCCTTCCCTCCCTCCCTCCCTCCCTTCCTTCCTCCCTCCCTCCCTTCCTTCCTCCCCTCCTCCCTTCCTTCCTTCCTTCCTTCCTTCTTCCAGCTCATTATCTATAAAGAACTAGCATGTGAAGGGGATCCCTTTGGATGTGAGCAGCACACTCCCTGGCTTAGCTCTGCCTTAGCTGGCTTGCTTTGAAGCAGGTCCTGGCCATGGGCCGGGAGGCGGGGGACAGAGCCTTCTGGTCTCTTTGGGAAATCAGACTTGCTGGCCTGGCACCTTCCGCTGGCCCACCTGGAGCACCATCACGGGCTGTCTCTTGCCTCACCAATGCTGCTCCTTCAAGTCCCCGCTAAAATATCATCTTCTGCAGGAAGCCTTTCCTTAGACTCCTTTATGCTAGTGTGGCTAGGTGGAGCCCCGGTGCACAGAGCAATGGGCCCGGAGTCAGGAAGACTCAAATTCAAATCTGCGCTCAGACACTGACTAGCTGTGTGACCCTGGGCAAGTCACTCCACCTCTGTGTGCCTCAATTTCCCTAACTGTAAAATGATAGCTCCTTCCTCCCAGGGTTGTGGTGAGGACCAATGTATAAAGTGCTTAGCAGAGTGCCTGGCGCATAGTAGGTACTATGTAAATGTTAGCTCTTCTTAGTGCCTTCCTTCGCTCTGGTGCTTCTCTCTACCTTCTCCTGTAGCTCTCTCATTTGTGCCTAAGTCTTTCCCATGAGACCATGAGCTTCTTGAGGACAGGGACTGCCTTTTGCCTTTCTCAGTATCCCCAGAGCTTAGTCAGTCAGTCAACAAGCATTTATTAAGCACCTACTACGTGCCAGCTACTGTGCTAAATGCTAGGGATACAAAGAGAGGCAAAAAAACAGTCCCTGCCCTCAGGGAGCTCCCACTTGAACAGGGTAGACAATAGGCAAACAGCCACGTGCAAACCAGCTAGAGACAAATGCATAATGAAGAGTGAAAAGAGGGAAAGGCTCGCTTAGTACAGTACCTGGCACGTAGTAGGTGCTTAATAGATGCTGGTAATCTGACTGGCTGAAGTGGAAAGGTCCTTTCTAGTGCCAACATCCCATCTTGGCTATCGGCTCCAAAAGAATCCTGAGCGTGCAGCTTGGACACATGGCTGTTAAACACCTGGCCTGCATGGCACTAGGCTAGGCACTGGGAACACCAAATCCCCAAAAGACCTCGGCGGGGGTGCTATAGTGGCGAGAATGAATTAGCATCAGCATCATTGTCTCTCTCACTTGGGGCTAGACCTGATTTGTATCTTTTTTTAGGTGTAAATCCTCCCACTGAATATTTAACAACCAGCCCTGAACCCTGCCCTGGAGGAGCTTCTCTTCCCCTAGGGGCATACAGCTGAGACCCAGACAAATCAAGATAATGCAATTGGAAGAGGGAGAAAAAACTGACTGCTGGAATCCGAAAGGTCTGTTTTTCCCCTTGGGTCGGGGCTGGAGAAGGCACTGGGGAAGCGATGTCTCCTGCAGGACGCTAGGCTTCTGTTACCACAGGATGATGAAGAGGGCCCGGGAAGACAGGCTCCGCCCGGATGCGGGTGACGGTGGGAACAGGACAGTTCCAGAGAGCCCCTCACCCAGGGGACCCCAAATGGGCAGAGAAGAGTCTGTGTGCCTCATTGGCCGTTGACCCTGAGGAGTTTGTCCCACTCCCTAAGGGCTTATGATGACAGAGACAGATGTCTGCCTAGTTTGGCTGCTCCAAATCCCAAGGCCCCTGGGGACTCTGTTCAGATGTCTGGGGCTCGCTGAGCTTGAACCTATGCCTCCCAGCAGCCCTAGAGGCTCAGCTCAAGATGTTCTCCAAGGAGGCACCCTGAGCATCTACCCTCCTGTAGGGAAGTCCCCAGTGGCCCTTCTCTGGAAGCCCAGGCCCCTTAAGTAGCCTGAGTTTCAGGATGGGGGAGATAGTAGAGTTCCCCGCCCCCCAGCTGCCTCAGTGCCCTGGGTTAGGGGAGTCCCCTTTAGAGCCAAGCCTCTCCTATCTCTGGCTCCCTGGGCACCACATGTCAGGAAGGACAGCACTAAGCTTAGGTGGGCCGAAAGCAGGGGGCCAGGAGAGGAAGGAGACCCAAAGTCAAGCAACATTAAAGATCGCTTGAAAGGACGGCCCATGTTTGCCAGGTAGAAGATGTTGGGGCCTGGGTATGGGGCCGACAGGAGAGGCAGGGGGAGGATCAGATTGGTTCTGCTTGGCCTTGGGGCAGAACTAGGAAGGTCCAAGGCCTAACCCAAGGGATACATTTTCTAACAATTAGAGCTCTCCTAGAGTGGAATGGGCCACCTCCCATGCATAGGCTAGACCAACCCTCTGATAGTGCTTGGCCTAGGGGTAGGCATACTATCAGGGCTAATAATAATCTCTGACCCTGGGCTTCCAACTCCCTCCCACTGGGTGGAGTCCGGGCAATTGTTAAGCTGGCCTTAGGGAGTACAAGGTCAAGAGGGGAGCCCGAGATCTTGGGGCCTGGGAAACTTGCCCAACTCAAGCTGGAGCCCTAGATCTGGCAACATTTGACAACTTTTTGACTCTCTTGGAGTTGAAGCCCTAAGCTCAGGCTGAGAGCAAGAAGTAGCCAAAGGCCAGCAAGGCTCAGGATGTTCTGTTCCCTCAGAGAATGGTGATTGCGATCATTCCAAAGCAGGGGCCGCACATTTAGGGTCACTGGCTCGTCTCCGTTCCCAGAGCTCCCTGGCCTTCACCTGGGATCCAGCACGACCCATGTGACCATCCCGATGACTGTAGCAGACAGGACCTGCGAGACACCCAGGCCGAGCCGCTCGATGTTCACAGAAGAAAACAGGCCCAGAGCAGGCGGTGACTTGGCTAGGGACACGCATCTAGTAAGTGAGAGATGTTCGTGTCTGTCTTGTCCCTAAATGTGACACACTTTGCTCTGCTCTGCTTGGCCACTGTCCTTGCTTGTCGGCTTCATGTGTCTGCTACAGGAGTCCACTGGCCTTCTTGGGGCTGGCTGTTGGCCACACTGCCTCTGCCTTTGTGGAGGAACAGCTTTGTTTTCCTCTATTTTTCCTGATTCGTGTCTGGGTTCCCAGAAACTGAAGGAGACCTTAAAGATGGTCTGGTCCAGCTGCCCAGTTTGATGCCTGGAGAAAGTGAGGCCCCAGAGGGTACCTGCCTTACCCTTGTTGCATGCGGAGGTAGGGGTCAGAGGCCGCTTTGGAGGGTTGGTGCCTCGGTGGTCACGATTCACTCTCCTGCTCTGTCTGCCCCTGGGTGACCTTGGAGGAGGGGACACATCAGAGTTGAGGAGGATCCAGGCTGCCAGAAAAGGATGTGGGGACTTGGTGGCCTCTTCTTGCCATGCAATGAGCCCGTGAAAGCCCAAGGCCACACGGGGGTAAGGCTGGCACTTGAATCCAGCTCTCCAGACTCCAAGTTTGGGGCTCTTTTGGCCAGGTAAAGGGTGTGGCTTTTCTGTGTGTGTTTAGGCTAGGACCCCCCCCCCCAGCACCACTCCCTGCCCCCGCCCCCACCTTTCTGAATGGCTGGGCCCCAGGAAGGAATAACAGCTAGTGGCATTTCTGTGGTGCCCCAGGGCCTGCCAAGTACTGCCCAGCTTCCCGGGTGTTTTACACATGAGGTGGTTGAGGGGGCACCTCCTGGGTCGGGGGTGGCAAAGAGAAGCAAATGCTGGATCCAGGGCAGAACGACTCCACTGCTTCTGCTTCTGATTTATTTTTTCCCCACCAAGAATGATCTTTGGAATGAAGAGGACAGGAGAAGTGGTGCTAGCGAGAGGACGGTGAGTCAAGTTCAAAGCAGCCCCAAGGAGCTGGCTCCCAGGCCCTGCAAGAACCCCTGGCAGTGCAGGGGGTGGGGGCAGGGACCGTGGAGGATGGGAGGGCCACGAGTGCGAAGACCAGCCTGGTTTCCTCAGGGAGAGGGAATCCCAGACTACGCTCATTGCCTTCTTGGCCCCAATCACTAGCCCGGCAGGGCTGGCACAAACAGCAGCGGGCAGTTTATGGAGTCTTTGGTAAGGAAATGGCCAGATTGGCTTGACTGCCGGCTCAGAGCAGGGAACCCCAGGAGATGCGAATGGGAGGGCAGCTTCTGCTGGCTCTCTCCATTCACCTGCCAAAATCGAAGCACTGCTCTGACTGTGATTGGGAAGTGAGGAAGAGGGATTGAGGCCCGATGAACTTGAGATGTCTTGGGGGGTGTCCAGTTGGAGACAGATGAGGCTGGAGGTCAGGAGAGAGGTGAGGGCTGACATCAGCATAGAGATTGAGTTCAGGGAGCTGTCTGAAGGCAGTGACTGGTGTGGGCTTAGGGGTCTCAGAGGCCGCTTGCAAATGCCACCCGGGGGCTTCATCTTCTTCACCAGAGTTGAGTAATAACAATAATAATAACGCACTTTACAAATCTTATCATCACAGCAACACTGAGATGTGGGTGCTGTTATGGGCCCCATTTTGCTGATGAGGAGACTGCCTAGGCTCACATAGCATGGCTAGTGCCTGAGGCAGAGCCCACGTGGTTCCCTCCCCCCCACTTTATTGGTGGGGAAAATGAAACTGAGGAAGCTTAAGTGATTCAGCCCAGGTCACAGAGCTGAGATTCCAAACTCCAAGGCCCCCAGGACCTCCTCGAGCACTCGAGCACACAGTCACAGATGCACACAGAGACAGACACACAAACACAAACACACACACACACACACGCACACACACACACATACACAAAGCTGGACTTGGGAGTCAAGGAGACCTAAATTTGAATCCTGGCTTTAGCGCTTCTCATAAAAACATCGATTTATCATAGGTAGTTACTAGCTATGTGACCTTGGGCAACTCACTTCATGTCTTGGTGCCTTCTGTTCCCCATCAATAAAGTGGGGGTAATAACAGGGGGCCTCTGGGAGGGTCAACTGAAATGTCTCTCAAGGCCTCCTAAGCCTCCAAGACCGAGCACAGAGCACAGAACTACTTTTACCCAGATCCCCACAGGACCAGGAGGGCTCATAACCCTAAATGCCCCCCCCCCCATTGTGCCCGTCACAACACAACAGAGAAAACTGTTTAAAAGTGAATGTCCCAGGGTGGGAGAGCCCACTGCCTGACAGGGGCCTTGGACCAGCAGATGGGAACAATGCTATGATGAGATCTGAGCCATTAGACCTGTCGGCTGCTGGGCCTGGGCCTTGGGTTCAAATCCCGTTCCTGACACTTGGGAGTTGGCTGGGTCCGGCGTTTCAGGCTGCTCCTTGTATGGCAAAAATAGGTCTTGATCTTTACTGGGGAGGGAGTTCCCAAGCACCCCAGGGGAAATCTCCAATCCTTATGGATTTGATGCCTTGTTAGGTAAACAAGGAATTTTAAGGAGATCTGGCTTCCTGTGGGAAGTTCTCAATGACAGCATCTTAATGTCTTCGAAATCCCAGAGGGAAACCCTTCCCACTGAGGAGTCCTGCAGGGGTCTCCCTACTGTGATGCACTGATGGAACCCTAATTCCAAGCCTACTCATCTTGGGGAATCCCTTGTTATCTTTCCCTAAATCCTCCTCAAAAATTCTTGCAATGCGTCGAAGGCTGCCCTGTGGTTCTTTTTAGATCTCAAGTCATTTAGACGAAACACAGCTGGGCGAGGCCGGTTGAGGCCTCTCACTCTGGCCAGATGCCCAGGCCCCACCTTGCCCTTGTGGGCCTCTCTGGCCCAGTGGTTGTAAGTTACCATAGGCACAGCCGGTTCAGCCTGCTGGGTTTCCTTGGTCATTGTGGTGATCTGTGATTCAAAGTTCTGCTGCATGAACAGCTGGGGTTAAAGAGGGGCTTCTGTACCAGCAAGACTGAGCATATGTGTGCACACATGTCCATGTGAGTGCATGTGTGTGTGCATACACATTTGCCTCTAAGAGCGGTATGTAGGCATGCATTATGCAATGTCATGACATGCGTGCATGGGACAAGAGGAACACTATGGGCAGATATTAGAGCCATAGGGAGGTTCCTTAGTTGAGGTGCTGGGAAGGTGTTGGGGAGCAGGGAGTCTGTGTTGGCAGAAAGGTATGGGCACTTGCCTCCAGTCCTTGGTTGGCCCAGCAGTCCTTGGGCTAAGCCAACACTGCACTGTGCAGTTCATTTCTTTCTGATGGGCCCCAGTCTGCTGTGTTCTTAGCCAGATGGTCTTCATGAGCAGGGCCGTTCCCCTCTTCACACCTACCCTTTGTCCCACTGTTTTACCTCCAAATGATTGTCGTTATTATCTTGCACCTCAGTTGTCTGTAGAGTGATTTCAGGACTCTCTTCATCTTTCTCACGTTCACACAATCCAGCCTTGAGCTCTGAATATTCGGAATGACCCTTTATTTCTCTCAGGAACATTTTGTAATTGCATCCTTGCTGCCTCTCAGTTCAAGCATGCCACAAGAGGGCTGGCAAACAGGATTTTGGAGGGACTGTGCCAACAAGGGATTCCCTGAGGTCCTGTCTAGTCATGAGCCCCTCAGCCAGCTGGCTTTGCATTAGGACATCGGAACTGGCTTTGGAGCACAGTGGTATTTGAAGACAAAGAATTGCTTGTATTTCTAGGGAGCATCCCCAAAGCTAAGGGCTGCACAAATGGCCTTAGGGGTCGTGCGCTCCATCCAATGCTTTGCATGTTGTGTCCTTTAACGTTCACCAAAGCACTGACCGAGATAGGTGGCACAAGCGTTGCTATCCCCATTTGTTGCTGTTGTTCAGTCGTTTTCAGTCGTGTTGGACTCTCCGTGACCCCATTTTAGGGCTTTCTTGGCAGAGATACTGGAGTGGTTTGCCATTGCCTTCTCCAGCGCATTTTACACGCGAGGAAACTGTGGCAGACAGGGCTAAGTGACTTGCCCAGGGCCACACGGCTAGGAAGTGTCTGAGGCTGTATTTGAACTCAGGTTCTCCTGACTCCAGGGCAGGCACTCTATCCACTGTGCTACCATTTTACAGCTGAATAAGTGAAAGATCATTTACTCTGTCCCAGCAGCAAACAAGACAGTCCCTGCCTACAAGGAGATGACCTTTTGATGGGGAGGAGGTGGTGAACAGGGAGGAGCCACAGGGCACAGAAGTCAAGGGCACGCTGACCAGGGTCATGGACCAGGCCCTGCATGCAGTTAGGTCTTCACCAGGCATGGTGGTGGTAATTCCATGACCGGTCATCAGAACGAGGGTTGGAGAGGGGAGGAAGCTTGGGCGGTGAGTCAGAAATGGAGGCTGGGGCACCGACCATGGGGACTTGGCCAAAGTGTCTGTAAAAGGAAATAAGGCACTCTCTGGGGTCTGGTAGAGATGAGGGCCTCAGTTTGTCAGGAAAATGAGAGGGTTTGACTGGGTGATTGCTAAAGTCCCTTTCAACTTTGACCCTCCAGGAACTGAGAAGGGAAGTATGAGGTGGTGCTATTATAAAGAGATGCATCATTTCTGTGTCCATGGGGTTGGGAAAACCTGAGTTCAAATGGAGCCCATGACACTTCCTAGCTGTGTGGCCCTGAGTAAGTCACTTTACCTCTGTCTGCCTCAGTTTCCTCAGCTGTAAAATGGGGAAGACAAAAATAGCCCCTATGTCCCAGGGCTATCGTGAGGATGAAATGAGATAACGCATGTACTGTGCTTTACAAATCTCAAGGCGCTGTAGAAATGCTAACAATTTTGATTGGTTTATGATTGCTTCACTTCGGCTGGCTCTGTCACTGCCACCTGGACTTCCTTTTGGCTGCTCTGGTTCCACCCTGTGCCTGATCTAGGTGCCTGCAGTCCCCAGAAGGAGCCCTTGATGGCTCAGAATTTATAATTGTTATGAGCCTGTGAACACACTGGGGACCTGGGAACAAAGATGCCTGAATGAT